AAAAAGACTGTCGAAAGACCATGTTACGAGCGGTAGAGCTATTAAGTATAAGTACTACACTACTTGCACTTACGTCTGTAGCTGTGAAGTGTTAGCTTCAGGATGGTGTTATTGGTGAGATCCATGTGCCATACTGTGTTTGATCTAAAGATGTCTGTACAGGACTTGCTCTCACGCAAGTCTGGCGTCAAATTCTCGAGCTATTACCTTGGACCACGAATAACAAAGCTCATGCTCACTTTGTGTTTTGTGATGATTGTAACATGATACGTAAACTTTTAGTTGACATTGTGTGGAGATGTTTCGTGGCAACTGTCAGGTATTGTGTATATCTCGACCAAGTAACAAATTATGACACTGCACAAACAATTGCCAAGTACGCAGGGTATGTAAATTTTCGGACACGTGGAGTACCATGGCAGCATTTTTTTGCTGGCTTCTTGTACTTGCTCTTTGTGATTTCTGCCAAACTTCACAATGTGCATTAAGAGACCAGACGTGTTGCGAAATCTGGTTTATCGAACGGAGAAGTTGCAGCCATTGTTCTAGATTCTTTTGACGCAGATGTTGCGGAGTCGCTTCTTGACCAGCGCCATCAATCTCAGACTGTAGAAATCAAGGAAATGCTGAGCAAACAATCAATTGTAGTACGCGCGTTTGCTAGGATGGAGGGCTGTTAACTGGGTAGCGCAGGGACAATTGCGTGATGTGTTTCGTACCCGTCGTATCTATCTGCTCCATTTTTAGCGTTGGCATTTATAAAAATTGCGTTGTTCGGAGTCTTGTTGTCGTCGCTTATGATCGCGTACGTTTCACTTCTGGCGGTCATTGAGTACTCGAGCAACCTCACGATCAGCTTTTTGTTCGATTACAACACTAGATACGGATTGCGAGTTATTAAATATCCGTTTCCAGATATTGGCGCGCATACGCTGTGCCTCGTATTCATGTTCTTATCTATCCAAACGCAACGGCGATATCAAGATGTTCTCAAAGAGTCACGAAAGATAAACGCGACAAAGATGAAGAAGGTAACAAGGACAATTGTGAAAACTTAGAGCGTTGGCAAAGATGCGAAATGTAACGTACAATGAACTTCGCTATTGATGTTTATTTTTCTGACGAGTGGCTCGCTATGTCGATTTGATTATAGCAAATCCAACAGGGATGGCGATCTGCTGCGCGTTTGTGATTCACAGATGCCAAACGCGTCATCTTTACTCATCCAGATGCACTGGTCTCAACAACAATTTTGAGTTTGTAACTTTCAAACTTTTTTCGTGACTTGCATTGCTAAGTGGTGCTGTGGTTCCGATTTTTTTAGCTTGCTACACTTGTCGTATATGGTTTAACTAAGCACAATGAATGCCGAACAGATAGAATACGAAGCTTTAGCTAAGCCAGGCCATGATAGCGATTGGGTTGGCACAATCCGCTTAGATGGCGATAGCGAAGGGAAAGCGAAGCTGTGGAAGCTCCTGGCCAGCGAGTTTAGAATAATTTGGCATGTTTCTTTAACCGGTGGCGCGGTACTTCGACTCGTCGTCTGCACGGTGCCGGAATAGTTAACAGCGCAATTTGGAGAGAAGTACGCTCTGTATGCAGCCAACAACTTGGAATTCAATCATCCGACCTCATTTTGCCAAGTTGATGACGATGAAGATGATTCTAAAATTCGAGCACGAGCTTTCACGTATAATGACGAAATCTTACGCTCTCGAAAAACACGGGGAATCAGAAAGCAAACGTGAACAGCACACGTCATCCATGACTTCTGACGATAAAGATTTTTCTTCTCGCTCAAGACTCTCTGGCGCTACATATGCTGGCAACGCATCAGTGAACGTGGTGATGCTTTTGCTGACAATATTATGTTTTGTTCACCAAGACATCATAGCGATCGTTTATCTTTTGATTGTGTGCAGTATGATTTATGATTCTCCCGCATCTATTTGTCGACAGTTGTGAGCTCTTGCTTGACGTTTTGTTGGTGGTTTTGCTGATGTACGCAGTCATGTCGTGGCCGAATCCTTTTAATGGATGTTGTGATGAAAGAAACATTTCCATGGCGAGCAGTTGCTGACACTTATGACAAATGGTTTATGCTGAACAATCAACAAAAGTGGGGCTTAATGACTGACTTTATAGCTTTGTTTAGTGTGTATCACTTACCCGATACGAAAAGGTTTACTGAAGAAGAAGAGGTGGTCTTAGTATCGGATGAATCAGCATTTTCTCTCAAGCTTATTTGCAGTCGTGTAGAAGAAGTTACGAAGAGTACGGCAAAAGCACCTTCTGCAATGAAAATTACGTACGTTTTAATGATGAGTATGTCTTTTTGGCGCATAGTATTCGTTTGTGGTGCCAAACAAGTGGTGTTTTTTTTTAATCGCGTACTTACTGGGATCACTTGCGATGTCGCATCGACTGAACGAAGATCGTAAGCCTTTTGTTCCTTGGATTCACAACTTGCAAAAATGGAATTGAGCTCACTTGTTCATTATTACAATTACTAATGCACATACGTCTACGCTGCACTGAGCAATTGTCTCATTGGATCAAAAGCGAACAATCATGATAACTGTATGTCTGGTGCAAATTTTCTTGGCAACGGCATCCCCAAAAGTCTTATCGCTCTCTTCGTATTAATTTTTATTCAGTGGGAAATTACACCAACTTTACAAACAGTTTCGGCTTCATCCAAGCCTATCATCGTTGACTTGGCGACAATCTCATGGGAAAAACCATCAAGGAGATACAATCGGATATTACGACAGCAATAGCCTACTGGATGAATTAGCTTTACGCTTGGCGTTCCAAGTATTTGCATCGGTACGTGGTCATTGACACTTGGTATTTTACCAGTCTTGTTGCGATGGCATTTGCTGTCCCTCGTGAAGCGTTAAAAGATAACGTTTTGCTTGCTTAAGGGAATACCAATTGCCAAATCCACTGGATTTAGCATCACCCCGTCATATGACGGATAAAGTGAATGGAATAGCGTGATTGGGAATGAAAGCACTTTCGGAGATCTAGATGATGAGATATTTTTACTTTGCAATTGGTTTTGCTTGGCCCTTCCTGTACGAATTTCAAAATGCTAATTTCGGCTTGAAGCGGAAAAGATGATTCGAATGAGCCATCAATTGCTGAATTTTTTATTATTTATGCAGTGCGCAGCTAAAGCGGCAGCTTGTGTTGTCTAGCCTTAGTTGTATGGTTCACTGTACAGGTATCGAGATCTTTCGCCTTGTTGGATTTCGATAGACGAGAGCTTCGTCTATAAGGTCATTGGGCCGAAACACACAGTGGAGACAGTACATAAGCCTAATCAAGGTGCAAGTCAGACGCGATGCAGAAATATTAAATTCCTTTTCGTAGCAGCGTAGGCCTCTTACCCCAGAGACAATCACCTCTCATCTGACTCTGTACCCATCAATCTCAGACAAATCTGAGTCAGATGATTCAACAGCAAGATCGGCTTGATTGAGCTGTTCAAGAACTTGCGAGATAGCTACTAACCCACTCTAAGCTGCACCAAAATTGTAGATTTTTTCGCTTTATCATTCCTCTACAAGGCCACCCTTACGTGAGATTATCGGCTTCATCTGGAATCCGAACTGTCATACCTCCCATCATTTTAGACACATGTATCTGGCAACCTAATCGTGACCTACGTTAACAAATATCGTAACATATTGCGTTAAATAAAAAGGGTAGAACATATGATCCCTGTAACTCAGAAGCTTTTGACGTTGTAGCTTTGATGTATAACTTTTAAGTGATTGTCCGGCTTAAGAAAAAGTCTTCGAATAAACAAACATCATGGTACAAAACACTGCGTTGAAACAACAACTGTAGTTGTGACGTCGCTGGATGTCTATTGTAGTGCATCTACTGACCTCATCGCGATGCAAGTAGTGAAAGCTTCCCCTATCGTCCCAGTCAAAACAGATCGATACACGCAATCGCAATAAAAAAACGTGTGAAAGAGAGAGGCATACGATGCGCAACCACACTATTGAAGTAAGTAGACGGCGTCTTAGGATTAAGAATAAGTATGGAGATACCACGTCGTTACGAAGTGAGGGCCTAAATATAGTTACTATCAAGCTGTCCTTCTACTGCGCCTGAAAAGATTAACAGTTCAAAGACTAACGCCGACGGCGCACGCTGAGCACATCGACTTCAATCGGCTCAGATGCCGGTCAAAAAAGGGCCACACCGTCTCCGATAACTGTGAATGCATGCCGACCGCTTACGAAGGGGTGATAATTAACATAGGGCTTATCGATACCCTACTCGACCTCCAAGCATGGGTGACGCAGACGAATGCCTCACAATCGAAGCGAGGAAAGGACGAACGTATGCAGGGCACATCAGCAAAGGCTGCGGCGGTGCGCCAATGAACATCAGCGCGTCAGGTTTTTCATGCAGCGGGGTTGCCGTAGCTTTGCGCTTAAGGAAGCGTCTTTAGGTCACCGACCTTCCGTTCTTTACAAGAAGCAAGTACTAGTGCAGCGCATCGCAGTCCGCTGCCTCTTAAAAGTACTTAAAAGCATTAACCAATGAAAACGAGCACTTCTGTTCAAAATCGAAACTGCTTGTTATTTATATTTTTATCCTAATGCTAAAAGTTTAGATTTTCCAAAATATATAGTAAAATCTAAATACATGCATAACTACTGGCTACTAGCCCCGTACCGTATTCTTGTTTGGGTGTGTGGTACATCTCGTGCGACACACACCCTGTTATTAGGGTTCGTGTAACCCCGTTACACCCTTTCCCATTAAGATTGAGAACATTTACAGTTCCAATAAATCATTGCCTCAACGAGGCTCGCGTGTCCATTAGACACAGCAACTCCATTTGTTGGAACAAACTACTTCCTTGCCCAATTAGGCCTGTGTCATTGACACCAAAATCTCCAAGTCTCGCCGGTTCTGACGGCGAGCATGGGCAGAGCCCAACTTCATCTCCCGCCCTTCGTGCAACGTCGGACAGTGCGCACGCAGCACCGAAGGGTGTAAATCCCAGGCTAGATGAGCACAAACGTCGCACTCCGCGCACGCTTTCAGTGCCGAGTGACCTCGTTGAGGATGTGATCGACTATGAGTCTGACACTCCTTTTCCCGCATGGGATAACGAGGAAGACGAGCTGCGCCAGCAGAGCAATACGAGCCCTGCTCGTGTCTTGCGGACCTCATGTCTGTTCCCTGATTTCTCGTTAACTGAGGCACGTGGTGTAATCACCAATGACCTCGACGGGGATAGAGGCGGCAGTTTGAAGCTGCCCGTATGGCGGCTCTAAAGTGCGCCCATTCGCGGTCGGTCATTGAAACTCGTGTGGAGTATGATTTCCGTCCATCGGATCCCGCTGTGGCAGCAAAGGACGCGGTAACTCGATCGCTACGCGTCCACATCATCGGGCCCCCGGCCAGAACGGATGATGAACTTGCCACATGGAAGGCTCTTCGAGCTCGTTTCTTGGTCCCACAAGAAATTCCGTTGGAAACTTAACGCACTTGTCTGAGTGCACAACGAGGTGTCTCTCGTGTACCCGCAATGCGGACAATACCTGTAGTGCTCGCCTCAGGCGAAAGTGCTACTGATGATGAAACGCTCTTTGAGCGATGGGTGCAACGGCACCGGAAACTTCCTCACTGCATAACCTGCAGTTGAGCCACAAGGAAGTGGACGTGCGTGTGAAGCGACACCCCCGCTTTGAGTTTGCCAAACCCAAGGCACGCCGTCGACTGCCGTCGGATTGTCGCCCTGCGACGTATGGGTTCTCAGCCCCTCATGCTCCCGCGACCTCTGTGTCTTCGACCGCGAGAGCTCATGGCCACTGCTTGAGCTCAGCTCATGACCTTTCTACTTCCCTAGCTATTACCAGGAAGCGCGGGAAGTCGTGATCGCTCTAATCAAAAGTGTCCACGGCGACTGGGCAATCTTGCCGAAGTGGCGCCTCAAACTCCCACGAGTTTTCTGAGTCGGAATATCCCCGCCAATTCATCAGGTATTGGGTTTGACCCTGGTGACGACGTCGTTCAACAAGACGTTCCACGTGATAGTGGACGTCACCGTTCTCA